TGCTCTGGAGACTCACCCGCCTCTGCTCCCACCTGAGGACCTGCCCTCTCTCAGACTTCTCCCCTCCTGGCTGGATACCACTCCCAGCCCAGCCTGCTCTGGGGCAATTTCATCCATCAGGCACTGCAAGAACAGTGGCTTTTCAAGGGATTGTGAACAGATGTGAGAGCAAAAAGAAGAATGATCCGCCGAAACCGGTTTGGCTCAGTGGATAGAGTGTCGGCCTGGAGACTGAAGGGTCCCAGGTTTGATTCCGGTCAAGGGCATGTACCTTGGTTGCGGGCACATCCCCAGTAGGGGGTGTGCAAGAGGCAACTGATTGATGATTCTCTCTCATCAATGTTTCTGACTCTCTATCCCTCTCTCTTCCTCTCTGTGAAAAATCAATAAAATATATATTTTTTTAAAAAGAAGAAGAAGAAGAAGAAGAAGAAGAAGAAGAAGGATCCGTTGGATCCAAAATATCAAAAGAAAACTTCAAAATAGAAATAAATGATGAGTTAAATGTCCACAAAAAGACAACAGCATGTCAACAACTCAACCCCAATTCAACTCAATTCATACTTTTGCATATAAATTATGCTTAATGTGGGTTGAGACTCAATATTAGTATTTGAATACCACGTGGAGCATTCAAAGGAGTTTTAGAGCCTCAGAAGACTCAATGACTGCTTCTCGTCTTTGAATCCCCATCTCACCCCATGCCCATCACCCTGACCGTCCTAACCACCCATTCCCTAGATACCAACAGTGATTTGGGTCAGGCAGAGATGGGTTTAGGGAGAGGAAGGGACAAGAAGAGGGAAAGACCTCGCCATCTCAACCCTGTAGGCATGTGCTTTCTGATCTCTCACCTCAGAGCCTCCGTGATATCTTCTAGCCTGAGGTTATCAGGTCCTTCTAGAGGCTTCTGGAGGTACCCATATTGCAAAAGGTAATCCTATGACAGAGGCAGGGGTTAGCAGGACAAAAAAGGGGGTTCGTCTCCGGGGAAAGCCTCTCAGTGACCTAACAGAACCACGTGGAGAGGAGGGGACAGGCATGGGGGTTAGAGGGGAGACCCCTTAGGAAAGGGGCTCCGGGGGAACAAGAGGAAGGAGTGGAAGGTGGGCAGGGACAGATCCCAGAGTGGAGGAAGGAAGGGGAAGGCAGGCGGGTTGACGGTCAGGAGGGAGGCTTGGATGGGCTATGGAACAGTTCCCCAATTCCTCCCCTGGCTGAGGTCCTTCGTGCCCAGGGGACTCACCACTGCTGCCTTCTTCTCTGCAGGCCCCAGGGCCCGGCCTGTGACTGTCATGGGAAGTAGGAAGCCCAGCCACAGCGGCCGCCAGTTCATGGTCCCACCACACAGGAGCTCCAGAGGCTGACTGTGGCCCCTGCCCTGGAACTTCTGGGAGCCTGTGGGAGCAAAGATGGGGGGCAGGGGGACTCTTGCCTCCAGTCCTTCTCACTTTTTAGTCTCTGGTCCTTTTTATAGAGAAACTGGGGGGAGTGGCAGTGGGAGGTGACTCAGCCCAGAGATATGTTGTAATTCACCATTAACCCCTGCCCTGCCAGAGGGCAGAGTCAAGAAGATCCCCCAGCCAGGCCCCAGAGTGTTCTGCTGCAGGTAGTAAGACTTTTCATACTGTCAGGGGGTGGAGGGGAGCATTTTATTTTATTTTTTATATATATTTTATTGATTTTTTTTTTTTTTTTTTTTACAGAGAGGAAGGGAGAGGGATAGAGAGATAGAAACATCAATGAGAGAAAAACATCGACCAGCTGCCTCCTGCACACCCCCTACTGGGGATGTGCCCGCAACCGAGGTACATGTCCTTGACCGGAATCGAACCTGGGACCTTTCAGTCCGAAGGCCGACGCTCTATCCACTGAGCCAAACCGGTTAGGGTTGGAGGGGAGCATTTTAGAAGGATGAGAAGTAGAATCTCTTCAGAGACTAGGGGTAGGGACCATAGTCATCCCCTGGAGCTGCATATTCCTACGCCCCAGCAACCTGGGGCGGCAAACTCCTCATCTTCAACCTCCATGTCTCCCTGTCTGCTCTGAAATGGGGACGGGAGGGCGCGGGGATGGTGAGGCTAAGAGGTAGAAAGAAGTTTAGGTTCTTGGATTTCAGGTGAAGGAATGAAAGATGAGGCCTTATATTTATTTTGCCCCCAAGACCAAGTTGGAAATTGATGTTTATTTGTTTTTAAAATATATTTTTATTGATTTCAGACAAGAAGTGAGAAGGAGAGAGAGGTAGAAACATCAGTGATGAGAGAGAATCGCTGATCAGCTGCTTCCTGCAGGCCAGCACTGGGGATCGAGCCCGCAACCTGGGTTTGTGCCCTTGACCAGAATTGAACCTGTGACCCTTCAGACCGCAAGCCAACCCTCTATCCACCGAGCCAAACCGGCTAGGGCCCAAGTTTGAAATGGAAATGCTCTTGAAGATGACTGTGTCTGCTTTCATAAAAAGTCATGATTTCAAGTGTTTAATGAGCCTGGGATGGAGGTAGGGTTCACAAGGGCACAAAGAAGTAAAGGGCAGGAGACTGCACAGGGAGCTTACAGATAGGGTCAGGGCAATCCAAGTACCTGCAATGAGGGAACCAGGTGCCCATCCTCAGGGTTATGGGGCTGTGGAAAGGTTCGCTGAGAAGGCAGACTTTTTTTATTTTTATTTTATTTATTTATCATTATTGTTGAAAGTATTCCAGATGTCCTCCTTGCTCTTTTCTTGTTTGTTTCCCATTGAGCCCCTCCTCCCTGCACCGGTCCCTCCCAAGCCTTCGCCTCACTATTGCCTGTGTTCTCGGGCTATGCATATAAGTTCCCCAGTCAATTTCTCCTCCCCCAGCCTTGAGAAGGCAAATTTTGGAGGCTGCCTATGAGCTGGATGGGGTGTGAGGGTACTGAAGGGCAGGGACAGTGCAGTCCTTGAGTAAAGTGTAGAGCTGACCCTAACCGGTTTGACTCAAGGGTCCCAGGTTCGATGCCAGTCAAGGGCATGTACCTTGGTTGCGGGCACATCCCCAGTGGTCATGGGGCTGTGCCGGGGATGTGCCCACAACCAAGGTACATGCCCTTGACTGGAATCAAACCTGGGACCTCTCAGTCTCCAGGCCGACACTTTATCCACTGAGCCAAACTGGTCAAGGTTTTGGCCATTTTTTAGTCGAGAAAATGGAGAGCCAAAAAAAGAAACATGACCAAGGACATGGAGCTCCTAATTGATCTGGCCTGTAATTGAACCCTACTGCTGACTCCATAACACATGTACACTGACTCTTAGAGCTATCTTGTTTTTGTGTGGGTTTTTAAAAAAAAATGTATTTTATTGATTTTTTACAGAGAGGAAGAGAGAGGGATAGAGAGTTAGAAACATCAATGAGAGAGAATCATCGATCAGCTTCCTCTTGCACACCCCCTACTAGGGATGTGCCTGCAACCAAGGTACATGCCCTTGACCGGAATCGAACCCGGGACCTTCGAGTCCGCAGGCTGACACTCTATCCACTGAGCCAAACCGGTTTCAGCTGTTTTGTTTTTAATTGACTTGAGAGAGGGAGAAAGAGAGAGAAAGAGAGAAACATCAATGTGACAGAGATACATTGATTAGTTGCCTCCCGCCTGTACCCCAATCTGGGATCGAACCTGCAACCTAAGCTTTTGCCCTGACGGGGTTCAAACCCGTAATCTTCCAGTGCATGGGATGATGCGCCAACCAACTGAGCCAAACCAGCCAGGGCTAGACCTTTGTTCCTTAAATGATTAGGAGCCAGGGAAGGCTCCACAGTCATTTATGCTTTACACAACATTTGCATAGCGTGCCAATGCACAGGGAAGTGGCGATAGGAATGGGGGGAATGGTTACTAAACTCACGTTCTCAGTAGGACTTCATTTTTTTTTAAAATAAACCTTTATTGTTCATATTATTACAAAAGTTCCTCATTTCCCCCCCCTCCACCCCACCCTCTGCCCTTTCCCCACCCTCCATTGTCCTCATCCATAGGTGCCCAGTTTATGTTCAGTCTCTTCCCGCACCCCCCTCCTCTCCTCTTTTCCCTGAGAATCATCAGTCCACTCCCCTTCCATACCTCTGATTCTATTATATTCAATAGTTAATATTGTTCATCAGGTTTTTTAATTCCCTTGGTTTTTAGATTCACTTGTTGATAGCTATGTATTTGTTGTTCATAGTTTTTATCTTTATTTTCTTTCTCTTTCGAAAGAACCGCCTTCAGCAATTCATATAATTCTGGTTTGGCAGTGATGAACTCCTTTAGCTTTTTTTTTTTATTAGTGAAGCTCTTTATCTGGCCTTTGATTCTGAGTGATAGCTTTGCTGGGTAGAGTATTTTTGCCTGTAGGTTCTTGCTATTCATCACCTTGAATATTTCTTGCCATTGCCGTCTGGCCTGCATGGTTTCTGTTGAGAAATCAGCTGACAATCGTATGGGTGCTCTTTTATAGGTAACTACCTGTTTCTCTCTTGCTGCTTTTAATATTCTCTCTTTGTCTTTTGCTCTTGGAATTTTAATTATGATGTGTCTTGGTGTGGTCCTCTTTAGATTCCTTTTGTTTAGGACTCCAAGTTTGAGCCCTTCCCCACACCTTAGCCTGAAAGGCGGATAGACTACAGCGGTACACTTACCACTCCAGGATGGAGGCAGGGGACTCCTGACTCCTATTGTTGCCCTCAGTGATGCTGGTCACCTTCATCCACAGAGCACTCAACTGGGTAACAGTGACTAAGTCCCACATGGCCAGTGACCAGCCAGGGAGGTCAGAGAGCCTCTGACCGCTGAGTCACAGAGGCCATGACTATGGAAAGGTTGATGAGCCCACCATTAAGGTTGATGCCCCCAGGAAATGATGGAATTCGGGAACCAGCTCATGCTCAGCCCCCTGCAGGGCTCTCTCTTCACCCTGCCCATCTGTTCCTCTCTTCCACACCCTTCAGTCCCTCTGCTTTTGTGAACAAGACATGAACCAATTGAAAGTGATAATAGTGCTTGCTTTGGTAGCACCTATACTAAAATTGGAACAATACAGAGAAGGTTAGCATGGCCCTTACACAAGGATGACATGCAGATTTGTGAAGCGTTCCGTATTTTTGAGGCAGCTGATCGATGTTTCTCTCTCATCGATGTTTCTAACTTTCTGTCCCTCTCTCTTCCTCTCTATAAAAAAAATCAATTAAAAATAAAGAAAATGATAATATTTTTCTGATTAAAGTTTTTTTTTTTTTTGTGTGTGTGTGTGTGTGTTTCTGAATAAAAGTTATTCATTGCTCACTGTAGTAAATTTGGAAAATATCAAAATAAACAAGGAAGAAAATGAAAACCACCAGTAAATTCTACACAGAAGAGAACTACTGATAACTTTGATGCAGTTACTTGGAACTGTGACCCTGAATTTGGCTCCAGCTCTGCCTGTCCCGGCTCAGCCCCTGGGAACTGGCTGCAGCGGAAGAGAAAGCGATAGAAAGTAGTGAGGACAATGGGGGAGGGACAGGAGCTGAGGAGAATACAGACAAGGAGGATACAAGGAAAAGGAGTACAGTTAAGATGAACGTGATAGCAGATTACTCCCCCAGGCACCTCATATAAGGAAAAAATCATCGGGATGTTTAGAACTGAGAGTGTCAGTGAGGGAGATGGTGGTTATCATGAAAGGTGACAGAGTGGGCACTCATGCCTCCGAAGACCCTGAGGGATAGAACTACATTCTAGACACTAAGAATCCAGGAGAGAATTGAGGAAAAGAGTGAAAGCTGCCAGATAATTTATTTATTCAAATCTCAGCAACAATTCTGAGGGCTGGTATTATCACCTTTTTGTAGAAAAGAAAAAAATAGTCTCTAATCTGTGGTTTTAGGTCACACAGCAAGAAGCAGCAGAGCTTCTGGCTCAAGCTATGATCTTTACAGCTCCTCCCCCCCCCCCCCCCCGCTTCCTCCTTAGGGGGGCACCCAAACAAAAGCCCCTAGAGCCAGGGGCTGCAGACAGGGCCTACGTACAAGGACTGCATGACTAAGTCTGTTCCCATAATGGCGTCATGACTGCCCTCTACTACCCCCTGAACCAGGGTGACCCAGCTCTTTTTCCCTCTGAATTTGTCATCTCTGACGGGGGGAGGGGGGGGGAGATGTGTGTGAAGGGTCAGAAGATGTAGTCTGTCTGCCACAAAAAGAGAACTTGATTCCATGAGAGGAAGAACTCCTGGGTTCTTTGGCTGGCTTGCTCTCTTCCTGCAATCTGTTTTCCCTTGAATGTGTATAGAAATATTTTTAGTTACGTATGTTGAACTGTCACAGGAGGGATTAGGTTAGAATCTGAGAGTATGTGCTAATGATCAGTGGCTATGAGGCTATGGGTGGAGGGCAAAGGTTTGTAGAGATCTCTAAGCCCAAGGAAGCCAGCCTCTACACTGTCACCCACCCCCTCTGACAGAGGCCCTCCCTGGAACGGCCCCGCCTGAAGGGCTGCATCCTGGTTTTTAAAGGGCAGCTCTGGGAAACAGGATGTGAGAAAAAGCTAAGTTGTAACTAAGTGAAGGCCAGTGTGCTCCTGATCAAGAGCCGTGGATTTCTCCTCAGGGAGTCGGGATAAAGGGAGCTTTCCCTGGCTGAATGGGGTTGAGTTCTCTCCAAGTCACTTACTCTGGAAACCTCCGTGGTTTTTTTTTAAGAAGAACCCCGCCCACACACATGCACTTCTTCAATTAGTCATGAGTTCCTAGAAGCCAGATGAGAAGTCATGGCTGGGATTGTGCACAGCTGGAACTGGTTAGTGACCAGGGAAGTGGAGGAGTTTGGGGATGGCTCAGGCTTGGGTCAGCACATTCTGTCCTCAGGATACACCAAACCTGGTTGAGGACCCCCATAAGGACACTTTCTGGGGGCCCTGCCTTGAACTGGTTCAATTGAAAGGACATCAGCCGAAACCAGTTTGGCTCAGTGGTAGAGCGTCGGCCTGCGGACTGAAAGGTCCCGGGTTCGATTCCGATCAAGGGCATGTACCTTGGTTGCGGGCACGTCCCAGTAGGGGGTGGGCAAGAAGCAGCTGATTGATGATTCTCTCTCTCATAGATGTTTCTAACTCTCTCTCCCTCTCTTTTCCTCTCTGTGAAAAAATCAATAAAATATATTTTAAAAAAGAAGAAGAAAAAAAAGAAAGAACATCAGACCCAATTCTTTTATTTTCTTTTTTAAAATTTATTTATTGATTTTTCACAGAGAGGAAGGGAGAGGGATAGAGAGCTAGAAACATTGATGAGAGAGAAACATCGATCAGCCGCCTCCTGCACACCCTCCACCGGGGATGTGCCCACAACCAATGTGCATGCCCTTGACTGGAACCGAACCTGGGACCCTTCAGTCCGCAGACCTACACTCTATCCACTGAGCCACATCGGTTTCGGCTCAGACCCAGTTCTTAAGTTCATTGGTTCTTGCCAAAGTGTGAAGAGGGCCAAGATCTGCTTCCCTTCTCCAATTCACAGAAAAGGGTGTTATCCCACAAGACTCCCCTGGAGATTGCTGTAGCTTCTGCTGGTGGACCCATAACCCAGCAGAGTGTGAAAGGGATGCATGAAGGAATAAATTCTAGTCTTGGAAACAAGGAAGGGAATAAAGAAATCTGGGATGATAGGGAAATGGTGGTTGCAGGCATTTTTGCTCCTTCTGGGAATGACAGCCTTTTCTTAAAGACAAAACAAAACACACACACACACACACACACACACACACACACACACAAACTGGCCCTGACTGGTTTGGCTCAGTGGATAGAGCGTCGACCTGTGGACTGAGAGATCGCGGGTTCGGTTCTGGTCGGGGGCATGTGCCTTGGTAGTGGGCACATCCCCAGTGGGAGATGTGCAGGAGGCAGCTGATCAATGTTTCTCTCTCATCGATGTTTCTATCATAGTTCACTATCCCTCTCCCTTCCTCTCTGTAAAAAATAAATTATATATATATATATATATATATTTTTTTTTTTTTTTAAATAAAGTGCCAGAGGGGCACAATTCCAGTTTGAGCTTGAGCTGCATGCAGTTTTGGCATAATGAGCACCACCCTCAGCTATGAAAAACATTTCTGAAATGGGAAAGAGGAAAAGATAGCTAAGGTAGAAGATCATTGATCCTAAGACCATACTCTCAGATTTTTTTTTTTTTTTATCCAGAAGCTAATCTTAAGGATATATGTGTTAGCTTATTGCTAATTTTTGTAAGACCCATGAGAGAGAGAGAGAGAGAGAGAGAGAGAGAGCGAGCGAGCGAGCAGGAGCACACGCAAACATGCACACTTTATTGCAGAAGTGATATTCTGTTGTAAAAAAATAAAAATAAAAATGAGATAACTGTCCTCCTGCTTTCAAAAGGGAAGAGCCAGATATTGATGGGATCAGAGCACACTGGGAGAAAGAGTTAAGAGATCTTTGAAGACCAAGAGCTGAAACAGTTGAAAAACAATCCATTTGATCACTGGCCACAACACAAGGCTGACCATTGACCATTGGTGGTCAATAACATCAGAAAGAATGGATCAGCAAGGGTGTTAATGGTGATACCCAGTGGCAAAAAGGAAATTAAAAAAAGCAAGTGAAAAAGGCAATCAGAATGGGGAGCTGAAGGAGCATGGAAAACCAAACCCAGCTTGGGTTAAGGTCATGTGTTGAGGGCAAATCAAGAGTTCTATTTTGGCTAGCAGACAGTGAATCAGTACAGCATTGGCAACAGTTGTATTCATCCATCATTCATCGCTTCACTAACTGAATCTGCCAGTGCTTCTTAAGCTTCTCTGACAAAGTTCCTCTGGTAGATTATGAAAATGTATACTCAGAGGGTAGATGTGAGTATATAACTGTGATGGTCACTTCTTTCAGGTACATGTCCATTCATAGTGATTACTCCTCTGTTCCCCTTCCACAGGATCAAATGGGTGGCTTCCAGCAGCCATGTTTATGGCACCTAAAACTCAATATATAATTCTAGGTTGATAGTTTTTTCTTATTTGAGTACTTTAAACTGTCTTCTGGTCTCTATAGTTTCTGGGGAGAAGTCCATGGTAATTCAAATCATTGCTCCTCTGTATGTAATGTGTCCTTTTTTTCTGACTGTTTTCAAGATTGGTTCTAATTTTTGGTTTTCAACAGTTTGACTGTGATGTGCTTAAATGTGGTTTGCTGAACTTTTTTTTAAAAAACAATATATTTTATTTATTTTTTACAGAGAGGAAAGGAGAGGGAGAGAGAGTTAGAAACATAGATGAGAAACATTGATCAGCTGCCTCCTGCACACTCCCTACTAGAGGGAGTGTGCCCTTGACTGGAATCGAACCTGGATGCTCTATCCACTGAGCCAAACTGGTCAGGGCTGAACTTCTTTTAACTGAAAATTATGTCTTTCACCAAACATGCGAAGTTTTTCAGTCATTATTTTTTCAGTCTTTTCTGCCCCATTCTTTCTTTCCTTTCCTTCTGTGCCTCTAATTACATATATGTATATTAGATTTCTGATATTGACCTACAGTTTTCTGAAGTTCTGTTCATATTTTTCAATCTTTAAAGAATATATATGTTCTTGCCCTAACCAGATTGCTCAGTGGTTAGCGTGTTGGCTTGAACTCGAAAGGTCAGAGGTTCAATCCCTGGCCCAGGTCAGGGCATGTGCAGGAGGCAACTAATTGATGTCTCTCTCATATCGATGTTTCCCTCTGTCTTTCCCTCTCTCTCCCCACTCTCCCTAAAAATCTAAGGTAAAATATCCTCCGCTGTGGATTAACAGCAGCAACAAAAAGTGTTTGCTGAACTTAATAAAATTCCATGACTTGTTGCTTTCCCAAGAGATCCTTTAATATTTCCTCTCTCTCCTCCTATCAACCAATTACATTACCTGCACTCAGCCAATTACTCATTTTGGAGTATAACTTCCATCGATTCTATGTTTAACATCTTCTTTGACCTCCAAGAGAGAACAAAATGCATTCCTTTTGTTTCGAGAGACAGCAATATTGACTAAAAATTGTACTATCTGAATCCCAGATTCTCTAACTTCCTCAGTTTGTAAGACTAGGTTATAGTTGCAGAGGGAGGGAGATCTAGGTGCCC